TTTTAGCAAACAGCAAATAAAGGCAGTGATCTGAAAAAGCTAATCAGATCCTGCTGTGGTATTTAGACTATATGGGTTGCTAGTACTGGATAATGTTAAGCACATTAAAACATCTGTAGGTGAAAACATGGCCCTACTCTGGTTTCTTAGTCACAGGTCCTAGTCCCCTTCCCCACTGCAGAACCAATACAAACAGCTGCACTGGCTCTGCTTCAGTCACTGCCATAGATGACCTTGTAGTTATGACAGTAGAAAACAATACAAGACAGTGTAGTTTTAAGGGTATACTAAATCTGTCGATGACAAGGGTCTGTCTCACATTTGAAACTTCAACTATCTGAGAAGACCTTATAAGTCTGCTGAGGTTTGCAAAATACTTGGGCTTTGATGGTGTTTGGAATCAATTCTTTTTGTCAGTGGTGATCCAAGCCGACTTCCTGCTACCTTTCTGCTAATATGGGTTTATTTAATACACAATCTCTTTCGACTCACAATAACCTCACAGAAGTAAGATTATTATATTAGATTTTACCAATTAACTTCCAAAACTTAAAAGGTTAAAATTTTAAGCAAAACATTATTTTTGACAGTAAAAAAAGTAACCAACAAAGACACCTAATTTAGATGCATGGTGTGAAAGAACAGAGCAAAATAATTAGGCACTAACTCTAATCTCTGGGTTAATATATTTAGAAAGCCAGCTAGGCCACGAGAGCTTTCATATATTTCATTTCCTTGGGCTTAGATTATTTTCGTTTATCTCCTTCCTTGAATACCCCCTAAATACATCCCTGACAAAGTAATTTTCAATGATACCACTCTCACGCTTTAAAAAAAGTCTCAGCAGCAAATCACAAGGTCTGGTTCTATGCTTTGTTTTCAAGCCTCTTTCTACAAGATGGGTCACTCCTGGCCCAGTTATTTTACTTCCCATTTCACTTAAAGCACAAGTGAAGTCACTTGAAGTGTTCTCTTGTACTACCTTACCTATCCAGTTTACATCTGCTGTTCTAAGCCCAGTTCGAGGTTTATTTTCCTCATAAAACCTTGGACTAGTCCAGTTTTTACTGATGTCCATCTCCTTTGAATCTTTATAACACAAATAGTCTGTACTGCATAATACAGCACTGATTTATGAACGAGGCTGTAAGCTTATTGAGGGCAGAGCCATTTAATCTTCCATAATCCACTTAGAGAAACCTATATGGCACACAGCAGTGTGATTTCCAGAAGACATGAGTGAAAAATATGACCAGTAAAAAAAAGAAGCTCCTGCAAATGTGAACACAGGCATTCACATGAAAAAAAAAATGCTCCTCTGTTAGTTTTTATTTCTCCTTTGTCACAAGGTGAGCTTATCAAAGAACCCTCAGCTAGTCTCAATGTTGTTACAGTCCTGATTCTGCCACAGGGGCTGCTTCCACCATTCAAGGCAGCTGTGGAACTCAGTGAACTCAAAACTCTCAGGGACAAGAGATATTTCCTGCAGTTTCCTTATCTGGCTTCACCTTCCCACCTGTAGGGGCATCTGTTGGAGTAACACTCTGGGCCTTTGCCTCCTCACTTGAGGGTGACTTCTCTGATGGGTAAGTCTAAGTCTGGGAAGAGCAACTGTGTAAGCAAAGCCCAGCTCTTTCCTTACACATTCCTCTTCAGGATCTGCCCAGGTACAGAGAGAACATGGTTGCTTTGCTCTCTGCTTGAGATTGGGTGGTTAAATCTTTCTAATTTAGGGGTTCAATATTACTAAGCCCTTTATGCTGTGATCGTAAGTCATGTTATGTAATAGGTTTATCAAAGAAAAAAAAAAAAAAAGCTGCTATTTTGATGTCCATCTGCCTGGCTCCTTTGTCTATTTTTCAACTGGGTCAGAACTAAAGCAGGAAAAAGACCTCCCCCCTCCCCGCCCCAACAAGTTTCGACAATAAAGTCTTGTTATAAAGAACTATTAAGGAAAAAAAGGTCATAAAACGACTCACATATATGAACTCTAATCAGACTACTTTTAAAACACATATGAAGGGATAAAGTAAAAAAAGAGAAAAATTCTATAACAAATGAAGATAATGCTCCTCAATGTCAAAATTCTTGGGGTTTGATTATGAAAATCTTTCAGTGCCAAAATACTCAGAGCAGACAATCCTTGTCTTTAGGGTTCAGAGACAAATACCAAAATACTTCACAAACACAGTATTTCTTTCCAGTGGTTTAAAAACAAAGGCACTTTTCTATAGCCATTTTAGGTGACAATATAACCCATATCCTTAGATGTCAAATATTTCCCAATAATTAGCTTCCCATTTAGTTATTTTAAATAATTCATTAAATAAGTCTTTAGGAAGATATTTTAAATTCCTACAAAATTTTTAAATACTCAGAGAACTAGGAATTTTAGAAAAGGGAGACAACAACGGACATCCAAAATGCTGATGTAACAGGTTACTAAAGCAACTGATGTATGGGAGAGTGACAGAGAAAATTCGTGAGGAAAGAAAGGCCACGTATGATTTTAAAAGGAGAAAGTACATATCATCCATGTTCACCAAACAGTTA